GGGCAAGCACTATGGGCAGTCTATCTGAAGTGTACCTGGCGTATAAGACGACCCCCCACTTGGAGGCATATTTTTCAGGGCCAAAAAATTGTCTTATACGCCGGCAAATACGGTAACCCTTTAGGACTCATCTTAGGATATCACCTCCATCTAGAGGCCTTTCCTGTCAGCCCTCCCAGGATGCAACACACCCATTCAGCTGGCTGAAGTAGCCCTCCTATGGGTTCCCATCATACCCCATGCAGACCTCTACGAAGTTGCCCTGAATGCATTGTATCATGACTGTCTGTCTGTCACTCCTTTAGACAGTAATTGCCCTGCTAACAAGGCCCAGGAATCAGTCTCTCCTTCATTATACCCCCAGCCCTTAGCTGGATCAAGCCTCCCTCCTGCTAATCAAAGCCGGCCCCTGGCTACTTACTTAAATACCTTCCTAGGCTTTGTATTGTCCTGAGGGTGAAGAAGAACTTACCTGAGCTAGGACAAGGTCCTTTAGCAATTGACCTTTTATGCCTCTCCAGCCTCATATTTTACTACTTCCTGTTCTGCCTTTGCCCCTACTGGCTTACAGCAGTTCACGTAGACCTTGTTCATTGCCCTGAAATGTCTATCTGCCTGCTGTGTGTGCCTATACTGCCCTTTCCTCTCCCCATAGTAAACTTACTGATTTAACTGTAAACTCTGTTCCATGTCTTCTCTGCTAAATTCGATGAAAACAGGGGCCACGTTAGTCTTGTTCACGCTTCTATCCCTAGTACCCGACACGCAATAAACCCACAATCATTAAATAAATCATGAAATCATGACTTTAGAAACTCTTTTTGTTATCAGGCCATCTGAGGTGATCTAAATGACTAGGAAGAGGACCACAAGATCAGACATGAGATGGGGAAAAAGGGCCTCCCAACTATGGCCCCCACCCCAAACTACTCTGATGGCAATGTTTGTTCCTAGGAAGAGTGTGGAGCGGGAGAGATGGGAGGGATTCCAAGGAGGCATAAATGTCTCCTAAGGCCTGCCCTCTGAGGTCTCAGGGAATTGCAGGCTCTTCAGAACCCACCACGCATGGGGCCAACTGCTGAGCTAGGAAAGATCCAAGCGTTTCCAAGTGGGGTCAGCAGGGACCCAGCAGGTGGAGGAGATAGTGGAGAGAAAAGAGTTGAAAGTGGGGTTGGGGAATGGATTCGCAATTCATGCAACCAGATGCCTTTACTCATTTGTGACTTAAGAGAAGGTGGAAATTTACTGGTTCCCTGGGGTGTCTCAGGACACTTGGTTCCGGATGAAGAGTGGAGCTGAGGAGGGACAGACATTCAAGGTGAGGGACTCCGGTGTCATCAGCTTATCATACAAGCACCTTTCTCCTTGAAGGGATTCTTGTCCTCAGGGATGCCTATGAGAAGAGGGTCGTTTCCTGCTTGGGCCTCCACATAATCCTTGATTTCCTTTCCCGTCTTAGAAATCTGTGAAAAAATAAAGTATGGTTCCAGCCCTTGTTTGTTCCTCAGGATCCATGACTTCTGGACAGGGTGGAGACAGCGGCCAGAGAGGAGAAAGATGAAAGGGACAGGCAGATGTGAAGGGAGTGTGAGTTCCTTGCCCAAACCCACAAAGTCTGACCCTTACCTGCCAGGCCCAGCCCAAGACGGGGCTGGACACGCTGAGCCCTCCAGGCGCCAAGGTTCTCTCCTGTGCACCTCCGTGGGGTCAAACCTTAGCCTTTTTCCACATCCTACCCCATCCCAGAGGCACCTCCTACTCCTTCTATTGTCCTGAAATGGTCCCACCACCCCGTTGTCCTTCCTGTCTGGCTCCATAAGAGCAGGGAGGGATGAGAAAGGGAAGATGAGACTAACCGGAGCTCTTGGGTTCTTCACTTCCTTCTTCAGCTGCTCCACCTCCATTCTCAATAGCTCCTTCTCACCGAGCTCCTGGGCCATCTTGCCCTGGAGAGACCTGGTCCTGGAAAAGATTCCGCAGTGGGAACTGCAAATCTCCTGGGCTCCCCCAGGTCCCTCCTCTATACTCTCCACACCTCAACTTCTACCCTCTTCTCTGCCTTTTCCCTCAGTTCAGGCCCCTCATTGCTTATCACATGTTCAATGCATCCTCCCCATCCCACCTCCATCATGAGTCTAAGCTCAGGAGGAGGAGACATTCCCAGTCTGATTCGGAGGCGCAATCTCTGCCCTTGGATAAGGACCTGTCTGCGGAGGAAACAGGAATCAGAACATGGAGAAGGGAGAGAAAAGAAGTTTCTTTCAGTGAGGAAGATTTGGGAAACAAAGTTATTCTTCCACATACAACACAGATAGAACTTTTCAGGAAATCCCAGGTTCTGTCAAGGGAGAGTGTACCCTAGTGATTAAAAAAAAAGCTCTGGAGGGGCGTTCAGTTAGCTCAGGTGGTTAGAGTGCAGACTCATAACACCAAGGTTGCCGGTTTGATTCCCACATGGGCCAAGGAGCTGCACCCTCCACAACTAGATTGAAGACAACTATTTGACTTGGAACTGATGGGTCCTGGAAAAACACACTGTTCCCCAATAAAATTTATTAAAAGAAAAAGAAAAGAGCTCCGGAGACTGCCAGACTCTAGCTCTGATCCCAGCTCTGCTGTTTCCAAGTTGTGTGGCCTTAGGCAAGTCACTCAACCTCTGGAGTCTTGGTTTCCCCATATGCAAAATGGGTATTATAATAACAGTACCTACTTTATANTAATACAGTTCCTCATGTTGTGGTGACCCCCAACCATAAAATTATTTTCGTTGCTACTCTATAACTGTAATTTTACTACTGTTATGAATCATAATGTAAATATCTTTTTGTTTTCCGATGGTCTTAGGCGACCCCTGTGAAAGGGTCGTTGGACCCCTAAAGGGGTCGTGACCCACAGGTTGAGAACCGCTGACCTAGAAGTTCTTCCCCACAAAAATAAGTAAGCCACTAAGTGTAACGTGGATCCAGGAACAGAAAAACGACAGTAGTGGAAAAGCTAGGAAATCCAAATAGAGTCTGGAGTTTAGCTAATAGTATTGTACCAATGTTAATTTCTTAGTTTTAATAAGAGTATCATGGTTATGTAAGGTGTTCATATTAGGAGAAGCTAATGGGTGAAAGGGAACTGTGTACTATCTTTGCAACTCTTCTGTACGTCTAAAATTATTTCAAAGACGAAACTACTGAACTTTAAAAAAGAAGTAAGGCAAAGGGCTAATGTTGACAGGATTTGCTGATCTCACCACGTGCTCATCATCTGGAAGCTGATGACTTTACTGAGTGATGGACTGGCCTGGTAAAGAAGTTTGGTGCCAGCTCAGAGACACCACTTTGCTAAGATAAGGTGCTGTCCAAAGGCTGCTGGATGTGTTCTGAACTGAACCAGAACAACATACAGTGCTTTTCTTTGGGGGCTAAAAAAACTCAAGGATGGGATAGAGGTGGGGATGGGTGGCTTAGATTATATCAATAACCCACTCTCAGAATGATATTTCTCATCCTCTCAACTTGCTAATATAAAGGTTGGAACATGCAAGTAAGAAATGCTGCCACCAGGGCACAAAACAATAATGCCTTTGAAGTGGAAGCTGAGAGTGTCCTCAGCCATTTGAGGCTCCTCCTGGCACTAGGACAGACAGAAAATGGGGTCAGCGGGCTGGGCACATGACTGACCTTGAGGTCCTACTATTGTTACCACACCTTGAGGTGGCCAGGAAGGGTATGGGAGGAGCCAGAAGAACACCTGGGGACCCATGTCCTGAGTAAAGGTGAACAGAAGAAACTGCTACCCTACTCAGAGCCCTGCCAAGGGATCAAACTCCTTAGAAATAAAGATTAGATTCACTCCCCTGGAGCAAACAATCCAACAAGGACTGGTGAGCAGAAGAAGGAAGCCATAGATACCCACATGGCCCATAGCCCTCTAACTATAGCCCCTGTCTATTGTTTTTTCTTTTTCTTCTTACTGCTGGATCCTTATGGAGTATTTACCCTTCCGCATCTAAAAAAACTAAGAATTACTGTATTTAAATCTTTTCTCATTCCTCTTTTCCTTCTCTTCAGTGCAGTATTTTGAGGGTGGCTGAATTTATTCTAAGTTGCAGAATGGTAAAGTGGGGCCCGGATGGAATTGGGAAAGGAGTGGACACTCCTCGGGAGATCCTGAATTCTGACCAGTGACTTCACTGGTGGGAGCAGGACCTGCCCTTGGGCTGTGATCCTCTGGAGAGGGGAGGCTGAGTGAGTTTGCAGCTCTGTATTATCACTGTATTATGTTAGGTTTGTTTTCAAATACTTGCTTTCAACCCTCTCTAGTAATCCCCCAAGCCAGAAACTCGGACTTCATCCTTGACAACTCCCTGTCTCTTACCCATTATTCCATGAGATGTTAAGATCTGAAAACTTTATTTCTCAAAGAACTCTTCATCCCCATCGCCCTCTCAAGATGTATGGCCACTGTCTTAATTCACCTGTCCCCTGATTTAACAATCATTTCCTTAATTGTTTCTCTGCCTCCACTTTCCCCTTTCAGTCTTATCAAAAGCCAATTTCCTTCTAAATGCAAACACTACCGAATCACTCCCAACAGACAGGATTGTTTAGTACAGCAAACAAGACCCCTCTGATCACCCCCAACCCCACCTCTCTAGCAGCAAATCCTAAGGAGGCCTATCTCCTGACATTCCAAAAACTCCAAACTGATTGGTATTTGTATTCAAACCTTGGTTCCTTTTTTTTTTCCTTTCTCATATCTGTGCCTCTGTTTAACCAGATTTGCCATCTATCCACCCATTTACAACTTACCGTATTTGCTGGCGTATAAGACGACTGGGCGTATAAGACAACCCCCTAACATTTCCACTCAAAATACAGAGTTTGTTATATACTCGCCGTATAAGACTACCCCCTCTTCCACACACCTTCCACACACCAAATAAAAGGTAAAACAATATCAGATTTGATTTGGCCCACTGAAGTGCAAACAAGCGTATTGTATTTCGTG